AGTAGGGGCACACGCCCTTAATCCCAGCACTCAGAAAGCAGAAGCAGGTGGATCTCTGTGAGTTTGAGGCCAGCCTGGTGTACACAGTTCCAAGATAGCCAGGGCTATCTAGAGAGACCCTGTCTCAAAAACAGATAAAAAAGGGTCAGTTTTCACCTTCCACCCGATTCTCTCCTTCCACCCGTGAGTCCCAGGGATAGAACTCAGGTCATCGAACTTGGAGCTAAGTGCCTTTGCCCACTGAGTTACCTCTCTGGTCTTTTACTTTTTTCTTTTTTCTTTTTATAGCTACGTAGACGTTTAACCCCCGCCCCCTGGCACCCCTAACCCCCAGAACATCCCCCGTGGGTATTCACATAGCTTAGGGATCTGGGTCCTCACCAAAGGCTCCGTGGTGGACATCTGGAGGCAGTTTTGAGTTCTTCCCCTACTCCCTTTGTTTGAGCCATCTGCCCTGATCATAGATTGCTTTCCAAGTAGATTCTGACGCTATCACAGCACCCCCCTACACAAAAATGGTGGCTTCTCTTTTTGTCCCTCTTCCCATGGAAGATATAACCTTTAACAATACTTTGTTGGGGTTGGAGAGATGGCTCAGTGGTTAAGAGCACTTCCTGCTCTTACAGAGGACCCAGCACCCACATGGTGACGGCTCACAACCATCTATAACTCAAGTTCTAGAAGTTCTGCCTCCCTCTTCTGGCCTCCTCAGGTACTGCATGCACGTGGCGCACATCTGTTCCTGTAGGTAAACCCCAATATGCATGAACATCTAAAAAATAAATCTTAAAAAATACTTTGTCAAGTTGGGTATGTCAAGTATGTAGCTATCTGTAATTCCAGCATTTGGGATATTGAAGCAGGAGGATTTCTCCCCAGTTCAAGACAAGCCTTAGGCTGCATAGTAAGTTTGAGGCCAGCTTTGGGCTGCACTGTGAGAACCTATCTCAAAAAGAGAAACATTCCTTTGTCAGTCTGATTCGTATTTTTCTAGTGAACTTACTATTTTTTAAAATATATATTTTAACCATGTTGGCTCTGTTCTTGCATGAAGTGACTCCTCAGAGCGTTGGGCCATTTCTATATTGGCTTGTTTATAAAATCGTCTCCTCCATTTGTAAGAGTTCTTAGTTCTAACCATTAAGCCCTTTGTCTCTACTGTGTGTTGCCGACATTTTTTTTGAAGTCTCCGTTTTTTGTTTTTGTTTTCTCTATTGATTGAGGGGTGGGGTGGGGCTTCGCGCATGTCCTTTAATGAACGGGTCTCTGTCTGGTTCCTTTGTGTGTTAAATGTGGATCGTAACATCTACCTTATAACGTGGCTGACGGTAAAGCTATGGACTCTGGTTTGAGGTCTCAGCCGGTGCCTGGTGTCTAGGGGGCAGTCTAAGGTAGAGCCGTGCTCTGAACGGTGACTTCTTGTTTTTATTTTTGGCCATTTCACTCCCCTTTTCCCCAAAGCTGCCCTCCCGTCTGTCTCTTGCTGTTGGCTGTACCTAGATCCTTTGGTGAGCCGACTCTCCTCCCGGTTTGTCCCCTGCAGAAATGCCGTCCCCTCCTCCATAGGCCAGAGGGACCAGGAGCGATGGGGACAGGGGCCCTCTCACCTCTACTGCTGCTGCTACTCTTGGTGACAATTGGAGATGCTGACATGAAGGGACATTTTGACCCTGGTGAGGAGGCTGACTCTTGGGTCCCTGAGGGATAGAGCTTGGGAGTCAGAGAGTTGGGGGGCCCTGATCCATCCCATGCCTGTGTCCTCCAGCCAAGTGCCGCTATGCCCTGGGCATGCAAGACCGCACCATTCCCGACAGCGACATCTCTGTGTCCAGCTCCTGGTCAGACTCCACCGCTGCCCGCCACAGCAGGTACCCGATCCTGGGGGATTCCTTGAGGGAGCCCTTTAATGGACCCCTCTGTGCTCTTCCAGCCCCTCAGCGCAGGCCAAATGGCTTTTGAGAAGGCCCAGGCCAGCGACGCATATGCAGTGTGGTGGGAGCAGGCTGTAATAGACCCAGAGCCGGGCTGGCAATGTGATTCAGTTAGGGTACTCAGCTAGTATGAAGAAGCTCTGTATTCAATTCCCAGCACCCCATAAATGGGTGTGGTGGCATATACTATAATCCCATCACTCAAGAGGTAGCAGCAGGAAGAACAGAAGTTCAAAGTTACTTAGTGAGGCCAGCCTGAGCTACAAAGTAACACTGTCACAAAAATAAAAAAGAGCCAAGGTCAAGTGTTGCCCTGACCTCCTTCTTCCTCCCAGGCTGGAAAGCAGTGACGGAGATGGGGCGTGGTGCCCTGCAGGACCTGTGTTCCCCAAAGAGGAGGAGTACCTGCAGGTGGACCTTCGGAGGCTGCATCTGGTGGCTCTGGTAGGCACACAGGGCCGCCATGCTGGGGGCCTGGGCAAAGAGTTCTCCCGAAGCTACCGGTTGCGTTACTCCCGAGATGGCCGCCGCTGGATGGACTGGAGGGACCGCTGGGGTCAGGAGGTGAGGCTGAAAAGGGAGGCACCTGGGAAGGATGCATTCTTCTCCTTGCCATACTCTAAACAGCATCTGCCACTGCCCATGCTCTAGCGCTAGTCTAGTCTGCCCAGCTCCAGACTCTGCCAGGAGCGCCACCCAGTGTTGCCAACCTGACTGCCTCTTAACATCCGGTGCGGGGTGTGGGTCTCAAACTTACCATCGGCCTCTCCAGTGGACGCCAGTCCCCACTCTTATCCCAAATCTGTTCCTTTTTCTTGTTCTCAGCTTGGGGGAATTTACAGCCCCCCCCCCCCCCCCGATCCCATGACCACAAACTAAGATGGTATTGGTGTCTTGCTCTCTCAGCTCCTCTCTGCACCCACCTTTGTGGCATTTTCTGAACCCCATCACTCCACCCCCACCTCCCAGCCCTAAGCCGTGTGTTCTTCCATCCAGCTGAAGTCTAAACCATTCAACCGGCTTCGGTCCCTTTCTACTATGTATCAAACTTCTTCCTGGGGCTACAAACAGCACACCCAGCTCTCAGCCCGACACTGGCTTTGGCTCTATCAGAAGAAAATAAAAAGACTCCAATTCTTTGAGTGCGAAGCACTTGGATTAACCCAGTTTCAGCTCCAGGGGATCTCGCACCATCCTCTGGTCTCTGCAAGCACTGTGTTTGCGCGTGCAAACCCGCAGACATGTACATACGCTGGGCCATACCGCCTTTATCTGTGGAACAAGCCAGGGTCCCTCTCCACAGTCAGGGGCCAGACACTTGCTGCCGCCTGTGCCCGGTCAGCCCTCCCCCAGACACCCAGAGGCTTCCTCTTACTCCACCCAGTGCTCCCCGGAGATGTCACCTCCGGCAGATCCTGCTCTGGACGCCCACCTCACTGCTCTGCCCCACACACTGCCTCTTGTTCCTCACAGCTGTCCTGTGAGGAGGGGTTCCCTTCACCACTGAGGTCATGTCCGGTCCAGAGCAGGCCCTTGGTCAGCTGCTGAATGAACAAAGTGGGTGGGGTGAAGCAGGCTGGTTCTCGGGGAGGGTCTGGGTACAGCAGCATGGATGGCTTGGAGACACATGGGAGCCGGCAAGGGGAGAGGGTAGGTGACTGAGGACGGGCCTCCAGACTTCAGGAGGCATCAGTGGTCACTGCCACAGAACTTCCTTTTAGAAATGCCCAGCTGCGTCCCACAGTGCTGCGTGCTCAGTGTCACCCTCTGCCAGCGTCTCGGTGGCCCCCGCAGGCTGACCTGCAGCCCCACCCACCCATGCACCCCTTTTTTCCTGGCCCACAGGTGATTTCGGGTAACGAGGATCCTGGTGGAGTGGTGCTGAAGGACCTTGGGCCCCCCATGGTGGCCCGGCTGGTCCGCTTCTACCCCCGGGCTGACCGAGTCATGAGCGTCTGTCTACGGGTGGAACTCTATGGCTGCCTGTGGCAGGGTGAGTGGGTGGGCCTCACAAGGACCCCTCACCGGTCCTGGAAGCAAGAGACAGAGAGCGTGAGGAGGGCCTCGGAGGTCCTCTTCTGTCGGGAAGCTGCCACTGAGAGGAGAGGGGGACTGGACAGTGTTGCCTTCTCCACGCTCACAGGAAGGGGCTGAAATCACTCGGCCTGATGCCTCTAACTCCCGTTTCCACCCTCCCAGATGGACTCCTGTCGTACACAGCCCCCATAGGGCAGACCATGTACTTATCTGAGGTGGTGCATCTCAATGACTCCACTTACGATGGATATACCGCAGGCGGGTAAGACCTGTACGGAGCTTGGGATGGGAGAAGGCCAGTGTGTGTGTGTGTGTGTGTGTGTGTGTGTGTGTGTGTGTGTGTGTGCTGTGTGTGTGTG